TAACATCAGTAAGGACCTACACACACACACACATATATATATATACACACATAAATATACACACACACACACACACACACACACACACACCACTCTCCCAGAAAGTAATACACAGAACATTCTGGAAATAATTTAGTTCTAAGCATTTCTCAGTTTTTCCTTTTGGAAGAAATTGCCATTATATAGTATACAAAATCTAGACTTTAGCCAACAGGAAAGAAATGTGAGCAAATTTCCTTAAGAAACAAAAGAATCTTTATTGTTTGTTTTAGAAGCAATATGTTGAGCAAACGAACAGTCAAATAACCGAAGAGAAATACCATACATCAACTAGTGGTTTAAACATTTGAGGAAAAAACATAAAAGCATTTACATGGACCAGATTTTTATACAAATGCTAACCCATGAGAAACACTCAGAAATCAAATAGAGTGTTAGACCATCAAGATGTAAACCCAGTAAAACAAAATTACAAAAGGTACAAAGAACATGTGGCTATATGAAATAATAGTGAGTAATAGCATATAAACTGGCCCATGTAAAGTACGAAAATAGTCAATTAAGTCAGGTTCTCTATAAAACAGTGCTAATTAGAGGTATTTTAATATGAATCAGGTATATAATCTAAAGGTAGAAACTTCTAGAAACATTAACAGCATTAAGCCAGTGCCACTCGCTTATGCTTCCAATTTTTATTTTTTAAAAAAGCTGCTTTGACTCTTGAGAAATATGTAAGGCTCATACTCTTGGAAGCGTTGTCCATTCCTATAAGGGTTAACAATTTTACACTAAAACATTATTTAAATAAAATTTTTTTTAAAAATCAGATTTATATTTAGCCTTTTAAAAGTGCCTTAAGCTGGCAAAGCAGCTCCAAGTAGCTTTCTAGAGAGGGGCTAGTTAGGAATCTAATTCTGAGCCAGTAAGATTTTCAGGGTACTCTAAACAGAGAGCAAATTTAAGTAGGAGAAAATATCATGCCAATATAACTCAAAGGTAGTTACAGACATACGCTGGCTAACATGCTATGGCCTCTATGTGTCAATTGCTGGACTAGCAAATTAATTCAAAACAAATAACATTTTGGAACCTAGCTATCTCATTTTCTAGTGGATGGAGGGGTACATAATCTCCCACCTCCCCAAAACACAGAACCTGACATATATTGCTGCATATTAACAATTTTTTAATTGCTCAGCCATCTCAAAGCCAAAAGAAGACCTATTAGAAGCAAGAAATACTTGTTATCAAGTTGAAATGCTTTGCCTTCTCCTATAAACATCAGGTGGTGCAGGTGAAATGGACAATTGGTGCCTCTCCCCAGAGCACAAAACTTAACACAAAGTACGTGAATTGATGATGCTATCGTAATGAATAATAACATAAGCTTTGATTAGCACGGAACTAGTTGAATATGAAAGCCACATTAGTAAATGTAGCCATCAATGCAAGCTGGAAAGGAAGAACAGCTTTTTCGTCAACAAAGAGGGGACCAAGACTTTTGGGTTAGGTCCAAGTTCTTTATCTAGGTTCTAGGACATACTGGCATTTCTTCTTTAAGGAAAAGGAAAGAATAAAACAAACTACCACCAACATGGAGACTCAAAGACTAAAGAGAAATCTACATAAATCTAGTGACATTAATATTAGCACTGTGTGCAGGGGCCAATTTATGGGTACAAAGAACTAACAACCCCAAATTGGCACTGCCTGGCAATTACCTCTAAAGCATCTAGATAATGGACTGAAATGCCCAGTTGGAATAGTCTTGTATCTTACCATTTAAAAGGCTGAATTACCCAGTTTTTTTTTTAAAGAAAGGATTCAACGGTAAGATTAACACCTATTCTAAAATTTTAAAAGCTTTTCCATCTTTTGTTGCTACAGCCATATTAAGTACAAGTGTACTCAAAAGGCATTAGAAAAGCATGCATTGCTAAGAACATAATACTATTAGACCCTGTTCACATCTATTGGCATATCTCTCATAGTCATATATGCAGCAATGCCAAAGCAGCTGAGTTAACCTGCCAACAAAATCACTAAGAAATGCAAAAGGAGCAAGTACAAATCCACTGTAGAATGTGTTGTCTCAATTTGACTACATATGAGGGTGGGGAGGGGGTTAAGCTCTTTTTCCTAAACTGTGTATTTCTAGTCAGAATGTCTAAAGTGACAACAACGGAATACTAATTCAAGACAATGTAAAACAGAATCTATAATCCATGCGATTTTGCACATTTGGGGGGGAGGCACTATAAAAATGTTTTAAATTCCCTAGTTGGAAAAGCCAAAATCGTGTGATTAATTTATAGTTTATCATTTTAGGGGTCTTTTTATCTATTGAGTTTGAAATCCCCTGATACCACCTGCTTTAAGATCAGCACTGTAAACTATATACCTTAAATTGAATAGTATTGCATGTTGGAACTTGTACTTGCTTTTATTATTCTGTAACAGAGCCTCATGTAGATTAGTGTTACAGAGTCTGATATCCAGCATAACTTTTTCTTCTGCCAATTAGGTAAGCAATCACTATAACGATAATCAAGCCTGAAAGACCAGCACCAACTATAATTGGTATTAGAATGGTGTCATCATCCAGCGAACACTCTTGGGCTGTAGGTGAGAAAAAGTGTGTAACAAAGAGTGAGTATAATAAAAAAAAAATGATGTTCCAAAAGTAAAAGATGTTCATTAAAAAGTCAGAAAATGCTCTTAAAAGATCAACTTTAAGTATTTAGGACAGGTCTATTTTTATGATAAAGCTACATAAATTATGGATTGTTCTAGAATCAAAATCCTAAAACTTATTTGTCCTTTCATTCATGTATGTATGTATATATTAGATATATATGTATACTCATTTATGTAAAACACATACATGTATCTATATTTCTTTGTTTATATATTCCAAGTGCTTTCCAAATTAGGAGTATTACTTTATCAGAAATGAAGGGAGCCAATCTAGCCAGATTTCTACATAGCCAGTTTAGACTTCGTGGTAGAGTGATGTCTTTAGGGAAACAGGGAGCAGATCAGGAAGGTTTCATCATGGGATCAGAAGAGCCACACTAGAGCCTGTGAACCAAATCTGGCCCAAAGGCTAAAAAAGTGCCTTTTGAACATTTTAAAATGACGGGGGGAGAGGAGGGACAAAAACAAAAGAAGATGATTTTGTGATTCATGTGAATTACATGAAATTCAACTTTATGGTATCCACAAGGCAAGTTATACTGGAAAACAGCCACGTTCACTTGTTTACTGCCTGTGGCTCTTTTCATGTCTCAACAGCAGAGCTCAATAGTTGTGACAGAGACCATATGGCCTCCAAAGCTGAAACACTGTCTGAGCCTTTACAAAAAAAGCCTGCAGATTCTCAACTTTGAGGAAACGCTTCTAAGTGGCTGCTAAGTCAAGAAACTGAGACCTCTGACTAATTTGAGTGTGTTTACCACATTTATCAATCCAGTCAGGGCTCACAGGGGCTATTTTTTCCATTTCTAGAGAGCAGTCTGATTCAGTAAAATCCAATCAATACTCTTACCTTACTGAAAGTCTATTTCCTCCTCCTATATAGTCAAGTATTGCCAGTCAAGAACCTAGCTCCACAAACAGACTACACATTCAGTATCAGTACTAAATGCTGTTTACTCCTTTGGGTGATATTTTTAATTCTATGTATATGAAAACCAAAGTGGCAAATAAGAGAAAAAATACAGCTCATTATTTTAGCTAACTAGATTAGCAGGCTTGAGCTAACTGTAGGCTACAAATAATCTGAAGTTCTAAATGCAAATCTGGGCTTAAAATTTGAAGGTAATAATGTAGGGGAGGAGCTTGATAAAAGACTCAAAAGTAAAATGATGAAAAAGGATCAAAATAATTGAGAAGGAAATGGTAATCCACTCCAGTAGTCTAGCAGGGAAAATCCCATGGACAGAGGAGCCTGGCGGGCTACAGCTCATGGGGTCGCAGAGAGCCAGACACGACTGAGTGACTGAGCACACAAGCAAAACCTGACAAAGGGGAAAATGAGTTCTTGAGACTATGTTTTAATTGTGATCAACCCCTCTAATCACAAGAATGGTAATGTCAAGAGCCTATAATTTATTCTGGCCTAACCAAGGCTGGCTAGGTGTTCAGCACTACTACAAAACCACTGAGCAGCTCATAGCATATTCACTTTCAGATGCAGCTTCCACATTTCTTTCTAAACCACTGAATTCATTGTTGAAAAGGATGTGGATGTCTGGTGTGGCTCTGCTCGGCAGGGCTGTGATCCACAAATCGTCCATTTTATGTAATCGGGTTTAAAAGACGAAGTCAATTAAGAAATTTTATGTACTTTTCCCTCTTCATGCAGATTTTAATCTTGCAATGCCAAATGCATCTTTCATAATCGTATAAACACAGTGTAATGAGCTGTTCACAAAGCTTTCACTAAAAATCTGTTAAATACCACCATTAGCCCTGAGTAGACCTTCAAAGAGCCTCATTCACACTGGCACATGCTTTTAACTCTCCAGATCATTCTAGTTGGCCAAAACATAGGCCACATCTGAGGCTTTCCTACCGCAATCTTTTGTCTTAATAAAATGAGACCAAACTGCTTTAATTCGAGTATGAAAATGTTTCCAGTGAGAAGATGGCCCCAAGAAGGCAGTCAAGATGCTCAAAAACTGCTGCTCCCCAGTGCCATCCTTCCTACAAATGACAACCACGGAGGAGTGTCTGCGTCTTATGTAAAGCTCACTTTAAGCACCTATTAGTTTGTAGCTTTAAGAATTTTGCTGCAAATGGTTTTGAGATTACAAAACACACCTAATTTGAGCAAACTGATGAGTTAATATAGTTACACCACTTGCTCAGGGCTATGAGAGTCGAGAGGTGAACTATTATCTCTATTCCAGGGCTTAAATTTCCACGACTCAGAAGAAAAGCCACCTAGCAGTCAACCCATGAGCATAAATTATTAACAAAACTTGCTTGGTTCTTACCGGTAGAATACTTTCCTTCTGTCACACTGAAAGGCTGAACCCTTAGATCAAAGGTATTTATCTGAAACGCTCCAGACACGGAAACCGTCTGCTCTCTGTTGCACATGTAAGAACTTCCCAGGGGAGCATCCCAGTAGCTGAGATTGGTATTTGAAATGCTGTAAACTTTAAAGGAAAAAAAAAAATGTTAGTAATTTATCCCGCCAATATTTTTTAAAAAGGGGGGAGGGGGAAGACAATCCTGAGGATTTTTCTGTGAAATACGGGAGAGCTCAGGGTACAGGGTCTGCCCACAAAAAGCCCTTCTTAAGATCACTAACTAGGTTCCCTATCTCTCTATGGATGTTGCGACAGTCTAAAACCCAGTCACATTCTTAACTGTTACTTAATATGCTTTGAAAATACGAGGTATTGCAAAAGATAGAACACTAGTTCTAAGCTACCAATTTTAAGTTATGGCCAAAGCCCAATTTTGACATAGAATCTTCTGTTCCATTAAATAAGGCACTTGTTATTAAATTATCTCATTATTTGGTAACAAGATAATTATGGTTTGTATTCTTTCAGTGAAACCCATGCTCTTCCCCACCCCCAGGCCAATGTTGTGCTTACCAGAGCCATTAACCAAAATCATGCTAGCATTCACCTCCTTCAGATAGAATCGGTTTTCATTTTTCTGTGTGAAAAAAAGTATCCAGTTAGTCAACGCATCACAGCTGTTTACAGACACAGTTAACATCTATGGAAGGAAAGCAATCGAATACTATCACCCAGAAGATCCAACCATGGATTAGACCTGGCCCAGTAGCACAAACTGCAACTAAGTCAAGAGACTCAAAATGTGACTTTTCCTCTTCATTTTTCTTTTCCCTTTTCCTCTTCATTTTTCTTTCCAACTTTGGGACCAGAGATGATGTGCTCACCTGGTTCCCAGACACTCAGCAATTCATTTCCTCCATTCTGATCTTTCTGTCACTTTCCAAGCCCTTACCACCCTCTAGCCTGGATCACAACAGCCTCTTCACAGGGCTCCCTGCCTTTCTGCCTGTCCAGCTCTGTTTTTCCTCCAATGCTATTTTCTTTCTGAAGCACTAATCTGATCAGACAATCCTGATTATTTCACCACTTAGTATGTACAAGGTAATACATCTAAGTGTTCCAGGAAGCCAGCAAAATGGACACAGTTGGATCCTGCCCCCATTGTGTTTACAATCTGCCAGAGAAGACAAATAAAAATAAATAACCATACTACAAAAAAGAAAGTGATAAATTATGAATAAAAGGAGAGGAATTCCAACTAGGGAAGGAGCGAAGGCAACAGAAGGTTAGGGGCGGGCCATTTGAACGGGATAGGATTCAATTAGGAAAGCAGCAGAAATGAGTATTCAAGAAGGGAAAAGCCTGAGTAAATAAGTCAGAAATAAGCATCATCACAAGCACACTGGCATCTGAGAACTTTAAGTGCCAAGCGCTATTCCTAAAACTTTACCCAGGAGGCTTCATGGAAGAATTACAACACCCCATTTTGAGATGGGATAACTGATCCATGGAGGGTGTTGAGCAACTTCCGCAAGGCTACAGATTTGACCCCAGAGATTTGCCCTGGGGATATGACCCAAGCGAGTCCAGCTGCAGAGCCCGAGTGCTGGTTCCTCGGTCACTCTCCTACCACACTGGATGTGCACAGGGAACAGGGTGACGGAAGCATGAGATTCACAACAAGGGAAAGACGGAATCATAAATCTGGATACGCAGGTTACTTTGCACAGAGGGGAGGGGAGGCTTGAACTATCCCGGCATGCAATTTAGATGTTTCCTTGTTGGCAAAACAGAACTATTGCAGGTTTCTGAGAAAGAGCTGGGCTTCAAGAAGATTCAGCTAATGCTGAAGTACATTAGGGGAGGGGAGGAGAAGGGGGGACTAGTTAGGAGGTGGTCTGAAACTAGTTAGGAGGTAAGCAGTAATGTAGGCTGGAATCGGTAGGGAATGAAAACAAGGGGGCACAGACTAAGAGAACTTCAGGAGAAAGCACACAGGAAGTCTTGACAACGTTACCCCATCTCTCCTTGGTTCGCCATTCAAGGCTCTCCACAATTTGTCCCACTCTTCCAAACTTATCATTCACTAAACATGCTCCATGCCTCATTTTCCACCTAGTCTTGATTGTGTTCCTTTATCCAGGGATATTTTGTACTTTTTCACTTACTCCCCTTATACTCCATGTGTACACATCTGACCCATTCTTGTATGTCCAGCTTTAATGCCATCTCTTCTGTAAAACCCTCCTGACTCTCCTCGAGCCAGAATTAATGGCTTATTCCTCTATACTCCCATTGTTGTGCTGGGCCACTCAGTCGTGTCTGACTCTTTGTGACCCCATGGACTGTAGCTTGCCAGGTTCCTCTGTCCATGGAACTCTCCAGGCAAGAATACTGGAAGCAGCCATTCCCTTCTCCAGGGATCAAACCTGGGACTCTTGTGTCTCCTGCAATAGCAGGCAGATTCTTTATCACTGAATCACCTGGGAAGCCCTCCTTTACTCCCATAGCACTTTGTACTTCCCTCTGGTCTAGCACTCACCCCACTTTGAATGCACCTTCTACAGCACAGTCTACTTTTCCACAGAATCAAATCCAAAAGCCAGCATGGCATTCAAGGCCTTCCATAAAAGTGGTGGTTATTTGTACACCGTTATCTTTACCACTTGGGGGCTTCCCCAAAGGCTCAGTGGTAAAGAATCCGCCTGCCGATGCAGGAGATGCAGGCTCGATCCCTGGGTCAGGAAGATCCCCTGGAGAAGGAAACGGCAACCTGCTCCAGTACTCTTGCCTGGAAAATTCCATGGACAGAGGAGACTGATGGGCTACAGTCCATGGGGTCACGAACAGTTGGACGCAATTGAGCACATGCATACATACACCTTGACCAATAAATCATGGGCATCTTAAGAATACAGGCCTTCTTCTTTGTATCCCACCATAGCATATTGTGTTGTTGTTGTTGTTCAGTTGCCCAGTCGTGTCCAACTCTTTGTGATCCTGTGGACTGTAGCATGTCAGGCCTCCCTGTCCCTCACCACCTCCTAGAATTCACACAAGTTCATGTCCATTGCAACAGTGATGCCATCCAGCCATCTCATCCTCTGACACCCTCTTTTCCTTTTGCCCTCAATCTTTCTCAGCATCAGGTCTTTTCCAATGGAAAAAAAAGCCACATGCCTTGTCGTGGTGAGTGGCCTGTGTAACTCAATTAAGCTACGAGCCTTGCCGTGTAGGGCCATCTAAGACAGACGGGTCATAGGAGAGTTCTGACAAAATGTGATCCACTGGAGGAGTGAATGGCAAACCACCCCAGTATACTTGCCATTAGAACCTCATGAACAGTATAGAAAGCATCCTGTATATAAACTGAATTCAATTATCCTAAGAAGCAATTGTCATGATAGGACTGAAGGTGAGATGGGCCCCACTTAACTCTGGTGAGGCCTGTAGCAGGGTTAAAATGTCACTATTTTGAACTACATTTTAGAATAGTCTTCTGCAATTAAGTAGTACATATTTCCCCATGAGAGTCAGAAAAAACCATGTTCCCTTTAGGATCCTACCTCAGCTAGAAAGATCAAGCTCAATCACTCAAAAGGGAATGAATCTAAAATATCGCTTTCTTCGTTCTTATTGACTACAATATAATCTCTATGAGGTAACTTGGGAAGCTTGCTCTGCCACAATGAAGATGACAAGCTTAACTATACATTCTTAATAGCAGTTCACTGGTCATATGTGTACTGTAATGGAGAAATTATTTACATATTGGAAAAAGAAGATTTTTATAAATCTTTCTAAAACATAATCAATTACTCCGCATATATTCCATAGAGGAAAAAGGCTTTATACTCAAAATACCAAGTTTAGACAAGAAACAAAGACATGCCTAACTTTTCATATATCAGATGTTGAAGCTATTTCCCCATCCCTAGATATGAGTAATCTGATTTAAAAGCACAACTGTTTTTAGTCACATATATTAACTGTTGGTGGGTCAACAGGTTCCCTCACGGGTAGCTAGCCCCTCTTCCCCATTACAATTTGCTGTAACCTGTACGTGCACATGTGCACGCACACATACACACACCCTTCAAAAAATTATGGGGATAACAACTGCTTCTGAGAAGGCGGAAATAAAGGTCCCCAATGATTAATTTATGCTAGCTAGAAGTAGAATATGCACGAAAACTTCTGTTTAGGGTCCAGCCTTTGATGGGACCATGAACAAAGAAAACCTGGATGCTGCCATTATTAACTATCCTGACGTAGTACATGCAGAGCCTCGAACACAGTGAGTACTCAGTAAGTGTTAGCTATCCTTATTACTGATACTCTGACAAGTAGTATAACCTTGAAAAAGCCTAAATATCATAATAGATAAACAGGAGAATTTTCTAACCAATAATGGAAAAAAACTATGGAAAGTACTTTGTCTTTTATAAATAGACTTTATTATTACATATATCTATTTGGACAGATTAGATTTTTTTTATATGGGTTAATTCTTACTCCTACCCTAAGATCTATAGAACAGCAGAAGAGGAGAGTGAGCTCAGTCCACAGAACATGGAAGTGACCCTGCGGGATTAACAGGAATCAATGGACAACACTGTATAATTAAGTAGTGTTGAAATGGAAAATAGAGATAATTATCCCCCTCAACACATAAACATACACACCCATTCACACAGAGACTTTCCGATGTGTTTCTGAGAGAACAATCCTAATTCTTGATGAACCAGTTACTCACCACAGCAAAGACAAAGTCGAGATACTTGATGTTGCTGCTGCTCAGTCTGAGAAGAGCAGTTTGAGGTTGGCAGCTGCCAGTAGCGTTGGTTGTGTTGGGATTGATATTAAAAACTGAAGCAACCTTTAGGGGAAGAGGAGGGGAGAAAGGCATAGATTAACCATAAAAATCTACAGCAAAACCTTATATTCCAATAAGATCAAGTTCATGGAGAACAAAAACTCCTTTTGTCTTCTGGATACTTAAATGTATGATGTCTTACTTTCAAAGTTGGCACAAGCCCCTCAAGCTGTAACTCAGCAGACTTTTTTAAAAAAAAAAAAGGAAGACAAGAGGGAAGCTTCCTCAAACAATGAGCCAAATGAAAAGACATCTCTTACGGAGCACAAGAGCCATCTGTCTAGCTTGTTTAAGTCCCAAGACACTGGAAATGGGATCGGTTTGCCAGAACGCCCTCTGTAGGCCCAATAGAGCTTTGCAAGCAGAAGTGCCATCAGGTACTCCTTTCTGTATTTACCTACCTGTACCATTCAAACCAGCAAAGAGCTGGAGAAACAGCTGCGCTGTGTTCCAAGTTTACAGTGTTAGTCGCTCAGTTGTGTCCGACTCTTTGCAACCCCATGGTCTGACCATGGAATTCTCTAGGCAAGAATACTGGAGTGGGTAGCTATTCCCTTCTCCAGGGGATCTTCCTGACCCAGGGATCGAGCCAGGGTCTCCTGCACTGCAGGCAGATTTTTTAACCATCTAATCCACCAGGGAAGCCCTCACATAAAAGTGTGAAGGAGTTGTATTTTAAACTAACTGAAACAAAGATCAACTGCTTGGACCTCCCTCGTGGTGCAGTGAATAAGAATCTGCCGGCCAATGCAGGGGACTCAGGTTCCATCCCTGGTTGAGGAAGATCCCACATGCCACAGAGCAAATAAGCCCGTGTGCCACAACCACTGAGCCCAAGCTCTAGAGCTGGTGAGCAGCAACTACTGAGGCCCGTGTGCCTAGAGCCCATGCTCCACGACAGAGAAGCCACCACAATGAGAAGCCTGTGCACAGTAATGATGAGTAGCCCCCACTCACCACAACTAGAGAAAACCCACCCAAAGCAATGAAGACCCAGCACAGAGAAAAAAATTTTTTAATTAATAAATAAATTTTTTAAAAGACCCAGCACAGAGAAAAAGAAGTAAAAATAAATAAATAAAAAATTTAAAAAAGACTGCTCTTTAAAAAAAAAAAACTGCTCATATTCTGACCTGCTGATGGCAAAAGAATCTATACCCCAAAGAGTCCCTTAAACTAATAGGTTTCCTGCTGGCCAAGACAATCCCTTGACAGCGACATTAACTCTTTATGGTTGTATTAACTCAAATTAGTTACAACTCTACAAGACAATATCAGATCACTATTTAAAACTGCATCAGTCCATTACACACTCTTGGGCTGAAGGCTGGACCCACTACATTGGAAAGGAGATACAGAAAAGAACATATCAATAAAAACAGGCAACTATACCTTATCGTGAGTAATGTTCAGCTGCAGCCCCATGGTAGCCAGAAGACAAGTACCATTGCTATTTACAACTGAATAGGATCCGACCACTGGTTTTGTTGGAGATGGCGCCGTGGTGGGAACGATGGGCACGGCAGTGGTTACAGTTTTATCTTTATCACACAAAAACTCTAAAACATACAAGGACAAAATAAATTGTTTAATTCATAGGTCAGGGAAGAGCAACATATTTCTCAAAACAGAAGTCCAAAAGGATTATATTCGGGATAGGGAATGTCTTGAAAGTATTATTAGTATTTTAAACTGAGGCAGAGGTCCTCAAACTGCTGCTTCATATGCAGACAATCTTAAAAAAAGTTATGACACAACAGATGGGCTCCAGACACATACAAATGCTTTATCTACTCACATGTGGCCACACACTCATCTTTTTATACCCTTTGTTCCCCCCAAATTATCACCTGCTTCTGAAATGAAAATCAGAGATTTAAGTTTGAAAACAGTTCACTTCTACATTTTTTTAAAAAGTGTTTTTAACTGAAAAAAAGTTTAAAAATCGCTGAAAGATTTAAATACAAATGAACCTTTTATCTGTGCTGCCCCTACAGCAAATCATAGGCATTTCAACCTCCTCTTAGGAAGTGTTGGTCATTTTCCAGAACTGATGCCTGAGAAATTAATGTATTTCCAACAGTCATACAAAAGTTACAAAATCAACTTATAAAAGTCAAGATTAGAACAGAGAAATCCAATTTCTCAGCTTTTGTCTGAGATCTTCAAAAGCTTAAGAGCTAAGGATCAAATGCTATTTGAGGATTTGTTCCAACAAAGATTAGGTTTTATCGACAGAGAGCACTAGAGGTAGGATATTTCAGATCATTCCTCCACATGTCCATCAGAAACCTAAAAGCCAAGTTCTACCAGAATAAGAATTGCTGTTATTTATAAAAACTTTACAGTGCAACGTAGCTGTAAGTCTTAACATATAAATGCTTCAGATAATACTTCAACTAAAGCTTCTTGGTATACTCTAATCTTAAGTTAGGACCCAAGTACAGAAATGTCTCTATTTTTAAAGTGCTCACCTGTTGTGCTCACTGTGCCATTTTGGACAAAAGCTTGTACATGAACATCCCAATAGTGCTGGACAACATCACTGTTTTCTAAGGTTGACAAACTATTGCATCTAAAGATGTCATTCAATGGAATCTTGAGTGCCACATGGTAATTAACAGTAAAAACTCCTGTAAGACAAGAGTTAACAACAGCTATTTCCAAGAAGGTAGGAGGAAAGTGATCATATAAATATATAGACTTTCACCTTTTCTGTGTGCCTGCCCCACCCCACTCCTGAAGTGACAACAAACAAGGCCTGTTCAGGCACAGACAAATTCACTGTGGCTGAAACACAAGGGGTTAAGAGGAAAGGGGTGATGGGGATTAGGAAGGAAAGATAAGTTGCAGGTGGTCCCACTTTGCAGCATATTATATGACCTAAGGACAGGTCGGGCACTGTTTTGTTAGCAATAGAGGGTCAGTTTCAGTTTTTAAAGCTGGAAATAACAAACGTGTCATTTATTTTAAGGAAGACAGCAAAACTGTAGAGATCAGGCAGAGCAGAAACTTTTTAAGCGAAGTCATTTAAGAGGTAAACTAGTTAGTAGGCTAATGACCTGGTTAAGGGGAAAGATGAGGGTTTCCCTGGTGGCTCAGTGGTAAGGAAACCGCCTGCCAATGCAGCAGACATGGACTCGATCCCTGATCTGGGAAGATCCCATATGCCGCAGAGCAACTAAGCCCACAGTCTTTGAGCCTGTGCTCCAGAGCCCATGTGCTACAACTCCTGAAGCCCATGCGTCCTACGGTCCATGCTCCACAAGAAGCCACTTCAATGAGAAGCCCGCACACCACGAGAGAGAAGCAACTGGTCACCGCAACTAGAGAAAAGCCTGCAAGCAACAAAGATCCAGCACAGAAATAAATAAAAGTATAAAAAAGCAGGGGAGATAAGGAGGAGTTGCCTAAACCAAGACAGTGAGGGGCAGTAAGAAGAGAGCATGCGTGCGTGCTCAGTCATGGCTGACTCTGTGACCCCATGGACTGTGGCCTGCCAGTTCCTTCTGTCCATGGGATTTCCCAGGCAAGAATTCTGGACTGGGTTGCCATTTCCTCCTCCAGGGGATCTTCCCAACCCAGGGATTGAAACCACATCTCCTGCACTGGCAGGCAAGTTCATTACCACACTGAACCACCAGGGAAGCCCAAGAAGAGAGCAGAAAGGCAAATCAAAAACACATATCTAAGGTAGAATCAACAGGACTTAGCAACAAAACAAACAAGAGAGATGGAATAATCAAGGATTACTTTTGTGCTACAATCCCAAAGTAAGTGAAAGTAACTGAGTTTTTGAAACCTCTTCCTGAATAGAATTTAGAGACTATTCCATTTAGGAAAATCTCAGAATATGAAATCAGTTAGTTACCGCCTTTATTAATGCCTATAGTGAAATGCCAAAGGGGAAAAAAAAAATTTAAACCAATGAACCAGAACAGTTTCCTCCAAAACCGTTTTTCACTGTTAACTAAGTGAACAGATGTCTGAACTGGCTGTACATAGACAGACCTCAGAAAACAAATGAATGCAAAAACAAGTCATAGACACACTGGAGTTACATTATGAAACTGTCATTTTTAAAATGATGTATTGTGTCTGAACATATATTAACATATATATTAGTCAAATACAAACATACAGACAGGAAAGTTACACTCCTAACTCCCAAGAGTGGTCCCCTCTTGGGAGGCAGGGAGGAAAATGGCTCTGAGGAGTGGGTACAAAGGAAACCTCTAGAGTACCTGGTAAGGTTTTATTTCTTGAAATAAAACAATGAGGCAAATATGGAAAAAACAGCATTCATTCTGGGTAATGGGTTTATGTGTGGTTCTGTTATTTCCTATACTTTTCTATTTCTACACTGTAATTTTTAAAAATTTTTCATTTATTTAACACCAAATACATTTGGTATTGGGGTATAGCCAATTAAGTGAAGGGACTCAGTCATACATATATATGGTGGCTCAGACGGTACAGAATCCACCTACAGTGAGGGAGACCTGGGTTCGATGCCTGGGCTGGGAAGATCCCCTGGAGGAGAGCGTGGCAACCCACTCCAGTATTCTTGCCTTGAGAATCCCCATGGACACAGGAACCTGGCAGGCTACAGTCCATGGGGTGCCCAGAGACACCACTGGGCAGCAAAGCACAGCACATTCTCCCCCCAACCTCCACCTCCCATCCAAGCTGGCACATAACACTGAACATGTATTTTAATCATGAAAAAGAAAAATTTAAAGGAAACAGCAGGAGGTAATTCCCTGGCAGTCCTGTGGTTAGAACTCCGGTCTTTCACTGCAAAGGATGCGGGTTTAATTGCTGGTTGGGGAACTAAACTCCCAGAAACTGTGGCATAGCCAAAAACAAAAAACAACTTCAAAGTCACTTCAATTACCAGATGCCTAAAAATACAATGCTAAATTATTTCGAAACACTATCATCAACAGTTTAAGGGAGTCATTTAAAATCTCAGATAGTTTCAAATATTACAGAAGCTAGCAATAAAAATTGTATCTTCCCTTAGTCAGGAAACTACGATCCCACAAGCCATGTGGTACGGCCAAAAAAATGTTGTTGATGCTGTTTAGTAGCTCAGACATGTCTCACTCTTTGAGACCCCATGGACTGTATCCCACCAGGCTCTTCTGTCCATGGGATTTCCCAGGCAAGAATACTGGAGTGGGTAGCCATTCTCTTCTCCAAGGGATGTTCCCGACCCAAGGCTCGAACCCACGTCTCCCACTTGGCAGGAGGATTCTTTACCATCTGAGCCACCTGGGAAGCCCATAGCCAAAAATAAATAAATAAATGGGGGGAGAGATCGGTGTTAATGTTTCAAAGTCCACAGTCTTCCCATCAAATCTATCAGATTAAGCCCCATCTGCTTTTACTACCACCTCCCCTTGGTCCAGGTACTTATTACATCATCCGTTGAGTTCTATAACAGTCTCTTAGGCTGGCATCTCTGCCTGTAGTCTCCTCACTTCCCAATTAATCCTGCAGAACATTCTTTATAAACTACTGTCTCTTACTTTTGTTACATCATTCTCCTGCTTAAAAATCTAAAATGGTTCCCCAGTGCCTACCCCATCAAGCTAAAAGCAGTTCCTTGGCTTCCAAAGCCCCCTATTAATTTAGACTCACTGCACCTGGCCAACATGATTTTCCTTCTACTATGTACAGCCTCTATTTTAACTGGGCAGCTCTCCAATCACTACTGCACATACTGTGCTTCCCCCTGCTGGAAATACTCTGCTCAAAATTCTCCGCTTACTCAAAATCTACCATTAGGCGAAGTTTCAGCTCAGGCCCTCCTCCTCTACACCAAGCTTTCTCACTCCTCCAATGCATCACCTTCTCTGCTTGTCATCAGGCCCTCTTGTCCACAGACATCCAGTGATGGGCTCAGGGACTATGTACCGTAGGTAAAGTTCACTCTGTGCCTTGAGAAAGAGAGTCTAGAGCTTTCCTCACATTGTCAGAAAAGATTTATGAACCCTCCACCCCAAAAACACAAACAATAACAAAAGCACACAGATCTCAATGCTTTCCAATTTTTCCATGTATACTTGGGAAAACAACTTCACTTTGTCTCTCCAACTAGTTCTTAAGCTCCTTGAAAGTTAGGGGAAAATCCTAATCCTAGTTCTGAAAGACAATATACAGCAGAAAGCTAAATATACAAGATATTCAAGGACAAACTTGCTTCAGTCATCCTCTCAAACTAACAGATCAGTAAAAAGAAAACTAGGATTTGATTTCTGAGTCTTAGTTAGTGATACTGCCCATGTTTTACATGAGCTCACTCACTTCTGGGTCTTTAAAAATATAATCTTTTGATACTCCATAAATCCAAATGAATTACTCATCCCCCAAGACCAGGCAACTGAAGCCTATCTACTTGTGTTTCTGAGGTCAGGATGAAATACTATCTATGACAAATGCTAAGCTACTAGGAACGCCATGTTAATATCCCAATCTCAGTGGAAGGGAAAGGAGAGAATTATATCCCTAACAAGACTGAAATCTCCATTATCCATGCCTTCAAAATATTTTAATACACATTTCACTTCTAGTAAGTTACTAGAGCAGCTTTCCTGGTAGCCCAGTTGGTAAAGAATCCACCTGCAATGCAGGAGACCTGGGTTCGATCCCTGGGTTGGGAAGATCCCCTGGGAGAAGGGAAAGGCTATCCAACTCCAGTATTCTGGAGTTACCAGAATGGCCTAATTCCCAATGCCTTCCCAAATTCATTTTGACGTAAAATTGTCTCAAAATAGCAGCAAATGTTGACTTCAGTCATGTTACCTTTTTTTTAAACAACTTTTTTCTCTTACCTTTTTTACTTTAGAGTCAAAATCCTATATAAACAGTAACAAGATTCGAAGATGAAGTTTTTCTGCTGGTCTCAGGCTACTAAACTTGTACCCATTTAAAATAGTTATCAGTAAAGGATTTTCTCATTCATTCAACACTTACTGACTGCCCACACCATTGAATGAAGTAAATAACAGTAGTGATGTGCCACGGACTCTATAAGCTCAACAGACTTTGGTTCAAACACCAGCTTACCACTTACTAGCCTGTGTGACCTTTGGTAAAGATATCTAATCTCATCAGGCCTGTAAAGCTGAGATAACATCTACTTCCCAGGGTTGCTGTTAAGGCTTCAGTGAGATGCTCCTGACAACATACTTAGGGTACTACATGGTACACACTAAAGCATCAAGCAACGACATCAGACATCATCACTGTGTCAAATACTATGCTGTGCAAGAAAATCCAAAGACATGACATTTCCACTCCAATTAGGGAGACAGACAAGCAGAAGCATGGTTTTTAAATTATTTCCATTGTTCATCAGTAATGAGGAGCAGGAGAACACAAACACAATCCAGTTCTTAAGGTTACCTTTTTCCTTCGCATCAGGAAATGTTGTGTTATCATTAGTGTTGTAGGAAAATGAGATGTAGTCGACTAAGTAAGTAGATGTAGATGATGCCTCTTTTGTAAAATTCACAATCCAGGAAAAACCGGACCCAAACTGCATTGCTATTTTGGGACCATTCTGGTCGTCCCCACAAAAGCTTCCATTGTAGGTTGCAGCACCAAAGTCTGAAATGGTTACAGTTTTCTAAAAGAAAAAGGCATCTGGAGCTTAGTCCCAAACAGGCAGCAATAAGAACAAGCATTTCTACCAGGAGTGCCACTGTGAAGTTGATATTACACCCCACTGGCCAGCCTGGCCCGTCTATGCTGACAGGTTTCCGATTCTTTAACTACACACCAGTCCCTCTGGACAAATTCACGTATGTCTAAAAACAAAAGGAAAACCAGTCTGAAGTTCAGCTATTGACTTTAAAAAAATATATCAGGCTGTAAAGCAGGCAGGATCTCAACCAAAAGAAATAAGGCAAAAAGGATTGAGAAGATAAACCCACCTCCACCCAAAGGAGACTTTAATAGCAAGCTATTTAAAAAAGCTTTGATGTTAGTACATGTTAAAAAATTATAGAAGTGGTTAGACCTGAAACACCATAGTCTTCAGATCATTTTCCCTTAACCAACTCCAAAAAACCTCCAAAGAACTGATGAATTAAAATATTCATTCCTAAATAAATAAAAAAATTCACTCCAAAACTAAATAGAATACCTTCAAGTGTACATGCTAAATAAAATAGCTCCACTAAATGTACATGGTGTTAACATGAAATTATATTTGTATAAATGAATGCAAAGGGTTAAAAAAAGAGTACAATTAAATTCCTACTATAAAACCCAAAGAAAAATAAAAACACTTACATTATGCTTGTCTGTGGTCTCATAGCGTATTGTGAAATTCATCTGCCATTTTGCATAAAGGCAAGTGGCTTTTGATGAATCTGTCAAATTAAGTTCCAATGCATAAGACGAGACAGCGCCTAGATTAAAAACAATAAGATTTTTAAATTGGACTACAAAAACATATATAAAAGCAAGCTCTATTCATCACTGAAGTTCAACCTAATAATCATTTCCACACTCTATGCCTTGCTAGTTTTAGGCAATTATTACTTATTAAGACTTGCTTTTTTTTAGGTAAATGAGGTGATGGGGAAATGTGGAAGGGGTATTTTCTCAAACCAGCTGGTGGAACCTTCTCTATAAAAATGATAGCTCTGATTTCTGCGATCTTGCTTTAAATCCTGTCAAACTACATGACCTATGATACTGAGAAGTCTTGGCAAACTTTTTTTATTCTGATGCAAAGATGTGGGCCAGGTCTAAGCATGTGTATCATGTGACCAAAGGAAGAATACTGCAAAGGTTGTTAGATCCACAAGCAAAAAGTTAATTTTTAGAAACGCAACGTTCATCATTTCAGTTTCATTTTAAAACTCAATCGATTAGAAAGCCTAATTCATCTTCTGACATGGACTCGAAGTCCCTTCCCTCCCTCCATTCTCAACCTGCTACCTCTTTATTTTAGCAGAGAAACCTTTCAGGGACAGAAAAGCTTTGGGGATTTTCAGCTAACTTGACTCTGATCTTCTCCACTAGGTTAAATGGGGAACATCACCTATTAAATTGAAGAGCCCAAGGACTCAAAACACGATATGCCAGCAGATATAAATGATGGACCACCATCTAAGGATTTTCTTCACTGTCTCACCAAGGGGTGCACTGTTTCCTGTTGAGATATCTGTACAGCCTTGAATGATGCCTGAGCATGTCAGCGTCACCTACAAGTGAGGACATGCTCTAGACTACAGAGAATCAAGTCCCGAGAGGAAAACCAAGAAGGCGTGCCTCAGCAACAGCTTTCAAGCTGTACACAAAGCCCGCGTCACGCTCTGGAGACCAAGCTGCCTCGCCAAGCCTGAATCTGATATGCCTAAGCTCGTGGTTACTGGCAATGCCTAAATGTACTGGCTACAGGCTCCAAAAGACCTGTGAGGCCTAAGTAGGTTTTACAGCCATTCTTTTCTCAGAACAATCTGGAATGGAGCTGCCATCACTGAGCCAAGGCTACTCCTGCAGTGGTGGCTCAGAATTCTTCTCATCAGCTGGAAGCCTACTTTCCATACACATTCTCTTGGTCTGTTTAAAGTCCCCCATTTTAACATATTCTCCTTGTATTCAAAGTATTCAGGACTTCCCCAGGGGTGCAGTGGGTAAGAATCTGCCTGCCGAAGCAGGGGACAAGGGTTTGACCCCTGGTCTGGAAAGACCCCACATGCTGCGGACCACTAAGCCTATGTACCACAATTACTGAAGCCTGCGAGCCCTAGAAGTGGTGCTCTGAAACCAGAGAAGCCGCCACAGTGAGAAGCCCGTGCACCACAACTAGAGAGTAGCCCCCGCTCACTGCAACTAGTGAAGCCCACGCAAAGCAAAAAAGACCCAGCACAGCCAAAAATAAATTTAAAAACAAAAAAAATTCTTTGTTGATTCTGAATAGACTCATTAAAAAAACAACAACCACCAAAACATTCAAAACCATCAGAAACAACCAAAAAAAGCCTGCCATATGTTAATCATTTTTTTTCCAAAGATATTAGAGTAGCAAACAAGACCATGTGAAACAGCAATCAGTATCAAAGGATCAGTATCAAGGGTGGAGGACTCAGCTCTCTTGAAGAGAAGGCAAAGGCAGTCGAGCCGCTACATTAACATCAAAATGACAGAGGATGAGATGGCTGGATGGCATCACCGACTGGATGGATGTCAGTCCATCTGTATGTCCATTGAGTAGGAGCAAGATCCAGGAGTTGGTGATGGACAGGGAAGCCTGGTGTGCTGCAGTCCATGGGGTCACAAAGAGTCGGACACAACTGAGCAACTGACATCAAAACTAACATCAAAACAGCCTACTCACCATCCCAGAACTGAGAACTGGCCCAAGGGCCCAGCATATTCTGTCCTCTGACTTCACAACCCAGCTCCCTGGGAGAACTGTGCTTTCAGAGGGCTTCTTCCACCCCCAACTGCCCAGGGGCCACTTTTACTCAATGCCTGTCACCTCGAACTCAACAATTCCAAAACATCAATTCTTCAACTTCCTCCAAACTCGTTCCCCCATTCAGCCTCACTGGCTTGAAAGGAAAGGCAGAACCCTGTAGAGACACTCAGGCTCAAAAGGTTTTGGGAACTGGCTTCTCCTTCATTCTCTTCTTTGAGTCCTATTGATTTTTTTCCCCTTCCAATTCCCTCTGAAATCCAATCTCTGCCTTTAATTTCTATTCCAAATCCACCAGCACACCCCTCAACTTACTACAGATGCCTCCTAGCAGCCCCTAGAGGTGCTGTCAGATTAATGGTCCTTAAACACCTCTTCCTCTCAGGATACTGTCTTGTTCAAAACCTTTTATGGGCTCCAAAATACCCATGCTAGAATTTAATTCCTCTGCCTGACTTTCAAAGTAATCTTTAATCTTGTCCCACCCTATTCCTTCAACTTCTCTCAAGGCCATGTTCCCAGAACACACCCTTCAATCCGGCTGAACTTGTTCCACTGGACCCATTCGCCACACTCTAGTCAACCTCTGTCCCAGGCTTCTACCGTTCCTAACATTTGAAATAGACTTGTTTACCTCGGAGGGGATTTCACTCTTTCTGGCTGTCCCCAAATCTACAACAGCCCCGCCCTTTTTTAAAAACAATTTGTGGCCGATACCACCTCCCCTCACTCTAACAGCTGAAAATGTGGCAGGGGTCAGCCAGCAGGGCTGGTAGCAGTGCAGCTCAATGGCATGAGTTGGGACACTAAACTTGGCTGTGGGATACATAGTCAAGAACTCCAGTAATTCTGAGTAATCCACTGAACCTTTCTTACAACGTGAAAATTTTTTTATGTGTGATGTGTAACATACATACAGAAAAGTATACAGCATACATATGGAAGGGACTTCAAGTGCACCAAGTATCCAGCTCGAAGCATTTTCACAAACTGAGCCCACTTGTATCAGGACACAGAACATTCCAAGTGCTCCCCTAAAAGTTCCCTCACTTCCCCTTTCCAGTTACCAATTTTCTTCCAAGGGCAGCCAACAACCTGACTTCTAACAAACAGCACAGTTCACTTCTGCCTGTTGTTCAACCTGATGTAAATGAAATTCACTATGCTCTCTTTTGTACCTGGCTTCTTTCACGCAACATTATGTCTTTTGAGATTCACCCACGGTGTTGAGCGTAATTGCGGCTTGTCATTTCTCATTCTGAATGGACAGCCTTCTTGCATTAGGTCAGTACTCCACTACATGTCTATGTTACTGCTTATGGACATTTGGATAGTTTCCAGTTTGGTTCTATTACAAATGGACGCATCAGTGAACACAGGTGTGTGTTGTGGGTCTATTGGGTATACGTTTAGGAATGAAACTGAAGGGTCTAAGGGTATGCACATGTCCCAGTATCTTTTTAAGAAATTCCTTTTCTGCTTAAAAATTGATGAGATTTAATTTCTGTTGTTTATAATTAAGAACCCAGACTGATAAGCTGTCCATTTTTCAGCCACCATTCTCTCCTTAAAGATTTCCTGACAATAACAGCCCTCAAGGAGCAGTCACAGTGCATACTGCCACACTTCCATATATTTTATACTACCCTGAATTATTCAGTTATTTTATGCCTGTAAATCCTGTCTTCTCTATTACTGTAAGCTCCAAAACAACAGTTTTCAACTGTAACTTCGCAACAAATTGACGTGCCAGGGTAAATTGTAGTATACAGCAAATAATTTGTTAGCTAATAAAAAAAAGGTACCAAAGTCCGTGAATGAATGATATACACGAATAGATTCAAGATTTCCTTTTGATAAGGTCTCTGCTACTCATTTGAATTCCAATATTCTCCCTTAGGCAGATGATCTTATCTATGCACAGCCCCTTGGAGTGTGTCTTTTTTATGAATGTCATCCATCACAGGTGTCAGGGAAGGGGAGACTATATCTATTACTTCCCTCTATCTCCCACCATCCCTAGTAGTGCTGAATATATTAGATTGTCAATAAATACTGATTGATTATATCCAGGTGAAAATACCATGCAATCAGGACCTGGAACACAGCTTAATCTAATAACAGGAAGTCTAAGCCTTCACCTCTTCCAAATCATGAACCCAACCCATCAGTCTTCTGGACACTCCCCTCAACCCCCATGTCGGTTTTTCACGATACATTGTGACATGGATTTAAGCTAGGAATAATGCTTTTCCCAGAAGTTTATAGTTGAAACATTTACATTTTGGTTAAAAATCTTCAGCAAGCCACTTGCATCCTATCAAAGTGTCTGATTTTTAGACTAGCCAACCATTTTTGTCTAAAAGGCTTTATGACATTAAAAAACACAGCTGAATATATCCTAGAGTGTGTAATTACAGACCTGGGAGTTTACTCTCCAAAGGGGCAGTGGGGAGGAGGGGGCAAAATCAACTTTCCCAAATGCAAATATCCTCTTGTTTCCAAAGAAATCATTTATAGGTTCTTTTAGGACTCAGAACTCTGGTCTCTAAGCATGACACACAGCAAAAAGTGGCTAGGTTTTCCTAAGTCTTTTTGCGATCCAAAAGGTGGTTGAAAAATATACATTTGTAAACAATATGGGGTGGGAACATCATAATAGTGGTAAAACAAAACCAATAAAAAACAATTATCTAAGAGGCAATAGTATAATGAGACAATTAAAGAGTCCCATCACTGGAGCTGAAGAGCTAGAATTCAAATTAGGCAGTCCAATTTAAACACTAGTTGTGAGATTCTGGGCAAGTTAACCTTGCTAAGAATTGTACAGTGCATTTCTCGAACACATTCTTCGAAAGCACGAGAGCCCTTCAGAGTTAAGAGGCCTTAGCCATGCAAGAGATTCCAACTTAAAAGTTTTTTCCCTTCTAAGAAACAGCACCTAAAGGGATCCCTCCCAAATTTTCAGTATGTCTACTTTCA